TTTTTAGGTTTTAGTTTTTTAGGTTTTTACGTTTTTACGTTTAGTTATTAGGTCGTTCGTTACGTACCGTTCGTTCGTTCGTTGTCGTACTAACTAAAGTAACACGTTTAAGTTTTAATTTAGTCTCGTGTCGTCTCGCTACTACGTCCTCCTCCCTCCTCTCTCTCTCTCCTCCTCTCTCTCTCTCACACACACACACACACACACTCTCTCTCTCTCTCTCACACACTGCAGGTATCATATTAAGAGGCTTTTATCACTGTTTAAGGTTCCGCAAATCATAGTCGAATGAAGCATTTGATCATTCTGTTGTGTATATCAAATACCTACAATCTGATTCCTTTACTTTTTATGATTTAGGGGCATATATGGTAGTAATCACAGAAAGAGAGTGTGTTGGATCTTATTTGGGACACCCCATGTTCAAGGTTTCGAACGTTCGGATTTTTCCATGCAATCATGCTCTCAAAATCTCAACAGCAGAACAGGTCAGGAAATTCCCTTTGTCATTCTTGATATTTCTTCCAATTGTGCTCCATGATTCACACCTAGATATTTCCATCCACATTTTTCACAGAAAAAAATGGAGACCGAGTTTGCTGTGCTCCTAAATGCTGCAGAGAGAACTTCTGGGCTCTACTTTTCTTATGATGTAAATCTGACCCTCAGGTGAGTAGGAATTTTTGTGGTTTTTTAAGTAGCATGGAGCTGCCTTAGGTTGAGCCTGACTTAATTTTGGGCAAGCATTTGATAACTTCAAATTTATTTTAGGGAAATTTGTGTATATATCCGTTATATTTGCTGTCATTACAAAAAAGACCTTTTAGTAGTATTACAGATTGATCCGTTTTTTGAACTTCATAACACTTTTTTAGAAAAGACGGAGCTGCCCATTTTCGGTTTTTCAAAAACTGAAATTCCTAAATATTTCAATTTTTCAAAAACTGCAATTTAAGAAATTTCGGTTTTTGAAAATCCGAATTTATGTTTTTGTATTTTTTAAAATACCTAAGAAATCTCTTCTTCTCTCTCTCTATCTGACAAAATAAAGCAAACACTTTCCCTGCCTCCACTGCTCTCTGTGACTCGCACGTTAATGGAGGCAAAAGTTCAACGTAATTGGATTCATGCTCGAGGATGTGACTGCTAGGTTCTTGGAGCTCTTTGCAATGAAGAAAGTGAAATTAAAAATGAGAAGGAAGCTTCTGTCTTCAGTGCATCTATACTCAGGTACTTTGCGGTGCCAAAGCATGAGGGTGTTATAGATGAAGAGAAGAAGGCTTCTCATTCTTCACCATTTTAGATCCCTCAAACTCTGAAGTGAAGAATATATAGTTTGAGAGTGTGGATATTTGTTATTTGCCGATCTTTCAAAGTGGAGGAAATTTGGAAGTAGACCACGCGATTTGTTTTTTTTTTTTTGATGAGGTTAATTGTTGTATTGAGAAAAAGATAAGGCGTACATGTAAGCAGCAAGACGACGCACAAGCCCGGTCCCTTGGCAAAAATTCATATAGAGGAGAGGACCTACAAAACTGGTCCCTCAGCAAAAAGTAGGATTCCCTAGATAGGATCCCTGTAAAAAAAAAGTTGAGGCTTATATAAACTGTGCATTACAGTCATGTACAAAAAGAGGAAGGGGTAGTCCAAAAGGTCACGAGCACAAAGTGAGAGACGAGAAGCCCGGCTGTGAAAAACTATAGTCTCTCAGGTGCTCTCAAGAGCGCTCCCTCCTTAGCCAATTGGTCTGCCAAGGCGTTTGACATCCTCCAAGTATGCGTCCATAATGTAATAGTATCCCAGCATATATGCGTAATGGCCACTTTTGTTATGATACGACATGTGTGATAGTTTGTGCTTTTGGATGATGATGCAGTTGGCGGCATTGCTTAACATTACCAGGCTTTACTTGATTGATGCTGATAAGGTCCAAAGCAATGCTTATATGGGTGGTGCGTATTAGGTGGCAATGGAAGTGGAGAAAGAAGCCCATGGGTTCTATTCAAATTTGACAAAATTGGTGGATGATATTTAACATTTCGATTGTGTTTCAAGGCCTGAAAGGTTTGGATTCATTCCCTCTTACCCTTGCCAACACTGTAATTATGAGGGAGAATGCACTTGAGCTGATGAATATCATACTTAGAATTGTGAGAATCCTCACCAACACTGTAATTGTGAGCTTGAATGAGAAGCCCATGTATTTTTGATAATATGGGGTTTCTTGATAATTTTGTTAAATTCTGTGTCTTGCACAGAGTTTTGATGAAAAAGGAGGGTTTCTCTACAAATTCGGAGTTTGATCCATATAGGGTGTCAATCTTGTACACTATAACGTGCGAGTTATAGAGAGCAGTGGAGGCAGAAAGCGTTTGCTTTATTTGGTCAGAGAGAGAGAGAGAGAATAGAGAGAGGAAAGAGAAGAGATTTCTTAGGAATTCCAAAACAACAAAAATATAAATTCGTATCTTCAAAAACTGAAATTTTTTAAATTTTGGCTTTTGAAAAACCGAAATATTTAAGACCTGAAACTGAAAAACTGAAAATTTTAAATATTTTGGGTTTTGAAAAACCGAAAATGGGCAGTTCTGTCTTTTTTTTTATAATCAGTGTTATGAAGTTCAAGAAAGGGATATATTTGTAATAATGGAAACTAAAAGGTATTTTCTCTTTATTTTATTGGTCTACTTCGATGTGTGATACTCTTCTCCGGTGTGTGTGTGTGTGTGTTAAATAGCTAGAAACATTGAAAATATATATTTCTTTTTCATAATCGATATGCCCTTTTGATATATCTTACCAACATCGAAAATTTAGCCAAAAGTTTTATTGAAAGAAAATGCAAACTAGGTATTTTCGTGCGAATGATTATTACTCCTTTCAGTTTGAAAGGTATATATATTTCGCTCCAGCCCTTTCTCTCCCGAAATCAAATTTATTCAATATAGTTATATCATTGTTCTCTATCACTTATTGTTTTCTTTATCATCCATATCACTTTTTGCTGCTGGATTGGGAATGGTTCATCTTTTTGGCTTCACATTTTTGTCTGTTGTTTTCGCCGCTTTTGTTGTAGCATACAACGTTTACATGATCTGGGTGATGAGTCAAAGGCGCTTCCCCTTTGGAAGCAGGTGAATTTGATTTAAGACTTAACCTGTTAGCTTGTTTTTCCAGCGTTCTTTGCATATCTTGACTCCATAACTATACATTCTGTTTCATGCATTCGAATGTCTTTTCTCTAAACTGGGGATATCTTTTTGTTTTTTTATGGTGCAGGCCAATGTAAGTTCATAGCACATTTCTCTTTCTATTTATGCCATAATGGACTTTTGTTTTTTATTAGGCTATCTAGTGTCCTGAGATTTATCTTAAGGGAAATTCATCAAATCCACACCTTATAAATGAACTACTTAACATCTCACTGTTTTTTTTATTTAATTTCAACTAGCTCATCATTCTTTTGATCAAATTTCATATAGCCATCTAATTCCATATCTTGGATTTTGAATATTATCAAATCACACATACAGTGAAATGCTAAATAGGTCAATTTTTAGGTTTGATTTGATAAATTTTGATTTATTTATTCTGTTTACCTTCTGTTGAATCTACTTAAATACATCCTAATGATCAAAACTAGGCCAAACTATTTGCAATTGTAATCTCATTAGAAATTCGTATATTTATAACTTTAAGATATAGCTTCCAAGGTGCTAGTGTACTACCCTAACCATTAGGCTAGAATACATCTTTTGCTTTCTCAGATAGTAAGCTTCTCCCAAGCTTGATATTTTGTATTGAGTAATTGAATATGTTCATCCATCACAAATTATATTAAGTCAGACTTTTTGCTAAACTTTTAGTTGCCGAAGAGCTTTTGTAATTCATCTATACATTTACATTTTGCTGGAAAGTCAACACTGAGAGATGGCTCACATGTTCTTGTTGGAGACTGTCCTTCTTGGTCCATCATAAACTCGTTTGGTTATTTTTTCTCACTATGTATATCCCATAAAGTTATTAAGATGTTCCTGATTATCTCACTTTATTGAGAAAGCAGAAATTTTAGTCTATTAGAAGGTTGTAATATTCTATGCTCTCAAGTTCTATTCATTTTAGGTGAATGCAAAAACTAACTTCAAGTCAACTTTCTGATTATGGTACCCCTGGCTTTATGCAGGCAGACCCTAGATTTCTTTGGAATAATTATATGTTGGAAGTTCTCAGAGACAACAAGGTGAGATTGGAGATAGGGGCATCTGTGGCACTTTTATTTCTTAGAGTTTATTTTAGTTTTCTTTTATTCTTATAATAAAATTTCTGATATGATTTATGGACTTGTATTTGCAGCTTGATCCATACCTATTGCCTGTTATTCAAGGAAGTATCCTTCCAAATTGGTTGTGATTTGGCCATTAGCCTTTGCATTATGTTTGTAAACTGGGGAAAAATTAAAGAATGCTTTCTTTTAAATTGGCTTTCTATTTGAGGTTGGTGCCTTAATTGTTCCTCAGGCTTTCAGAACTTTCAAGCGGCTGTTGGGAAGAACATTGCTGATGTTACTTTGATTGCTAGGAGATGTACAAGAAGAACTGGTAAAGTAGTCAAACCATGCTCCTTTAGTCACTCTTATAGCAAAGAGTTCTGGATGCCTAGGGATGTGGGCTTTTTTTTTATTTTTAAAGATGCCAAAATGGCAAAAGGGGTCATTTTGACCCCAAAAAGGTTTAAATAGGTTATGGGGGTTATTTTCAACCCCCAAAGTTAAAAGACACTTCTATAAGCCCTCCATCTCTTAACTATACCTATTTTTGAGAATCAAAAGTACTTTTTGTGGTTTGAAGAAGCTTCCTAAATTTTTCTTTTCTCATTGGAATTATTTTCTCATATAGAGACTATTATTAATATATAGCCTATTAGACTTTTAAATTTTTTTAATTTTTGTACAGTTTGAATTTTGAAATTTTGAATAAGTTGGGATGTATCATATGTTGGTATATAAAAAAGTATGTTACATTATTTTCAAAAATAAATTGCATAATTGATACAAATATATGTATATATGTGCGTTTGGAGTTTGGACAACACACACACACACACACACACACACACACACACACATATATATATATATATATACGTAAGTAAAGTTAATAGTAAGTGTACAACTTAAATAGTAGAAC